ATAGGCTCCCCCTCTCGTTCTCTCTCTCTCTCTCTCTCTCCCTCTCTCCCTCTTTATCGCCTTACTTTCCCTCCCTTACCTCCCTGTGCATTTGTATGCCTCGATAATACAGAAAATAAACAATAAGATTCTTCCTATCCCCCTCCTTCTTCCTAGTCTATGTAGTAGGGGTAGTATTAGCAGCAGTAAGACAATAATAATGACAACAATTATTATTATAACTATTATTATGGTTGGTGGTGTTACTAATGCTATTTTTGTAATTATTATAATTGTTATTTTAATTATTATCCTTATCATGATTCTTATCGTTGATATTATTATTATTGTCATTATTATTTTCTTTATTATTGTTATCATTATGATGAATATGAACATAATGATTATGATAACGATTAATATAAGTAGTATTATTATAATTGTTATCGTATCATTATTATCATCTGTATTATCAGCATAATCTATAAAATGGCAGTATATAGTACATGTAGAAGTAGGCCTAGTAGTATAGGTATCATTCTGGTCCTTATAATCCTAATTATCTTTTGCCATACGTCTAGACGATAAACTCATGACAATTGACAATTGTCACGAATCATTGTCTTTACGCTTACTATTAAATGCATCTGGCTCGAATTTTGCTTAGGTATTTGGTACTGGATGATTTAAATGGTAAACATGAACTTGTGTCCTATTCATTCTAGTCTTATTCGTTTGCATTATGTTTTATTCATTCAAGTTCTAATGTTTCTGACTGTTTTCAAGACAATATCTTTTTTGTCGATCATAGTTCTATGTAGCTTGATATGTCACGGTAATTTTGAGAGAAAAGCATTCAAGCAACGATTTCTGAATTGTAGCGAGAAACGCGTTCGCCTTTGCTGCTCTTCAATAATACTTGACAAGCAGTATAATTTGATGACAGTTGATTACCCTCGGTTGATTCTTTTGATCGGATTATTTGGCGGGGAAAGATAGAAGTGAACGATCTCACGCTTAACGACGTTGTATTATTATACTTATTTGTTCATCGTCTCTACGATACTCTTGGAATAAAAAACAGCTTTTATTGTTAGGCTTCCTGAAAACAATGTCAATTGTTGTTAAAAAATGTTTGGTTGCACTCTGTAGATTATGATGATGTGTGTAATCTTGTTTTCAATAACATGATCAAACACACAACGAAAATCTACTGGGTGCATGCCAATATTAAAGTTCTTTACAACAATAAACAAAAAAGAGGTAAATATAAATTTTAAATATCAAATAATTCATACCAAACATATCATCATCAATTATCATCAATGCTGTATTGCATTTTGAAACGTACATTGAGGGTTTTGTGGAAAAGACTCATCAGGTATACATCCACGGAATACGAAGGTTATTTCAAACATTATACAGTACTTGTAAATATGCTAAAATGTCTTTTGCATCATCATCCTCATCATCTGCATAGATTTTTTACCTGAAGACAAAAGAGGTATTCAAAACAGTACTGTGTGGTATAGTCTCTTTCTTGCACGCCATGGTTACCATGTTCTAGCTGAACGGTTATATGTTGATCGTAACGAAACAAGGCAGTTCTTGAAAAAAAAGATGGTGGAGTTTTTCATTAGGAAATATGACTTAAATAAACAACAACGTTACTTTTTTGTTCATCACTGTTTTTCATAAATGTTTTGTGAGTAGAGTATCAGAAGCAAGTCAGTTTACACAATCTCTTTGTAGGGTATTTCAATAAAATTTAGTACACAGTCTCAAACGCTACAAAGTTGACCAATGCTAAAAGGTTATCTTCACCCAGGCAAACACGTAATCTTTGACTAAACAATTATCAGCTGAACATGATAAACATGGAAATAACATTTTGCCTAAAAAAATTATTTTCTCATCATACAGATAAATTAAAAACAGCAACATTATATTGTATGATGTATGAGGGGCCATTATATGAGAATTCATGGAACTGAAATCCAAAAACTCTAATATGCATTACTGATTTCTTAAAATGAGGTAGGTATACCTGATACATAGCTAGTCTGAACTAAACATTTGAATATCAAAGATTTGTGTTTGCAGGAGTTCATTACAATACTGGAACAGAAAACTGACACAGGTACGACCATTCAGTTCATTGTTTCAGAAATCACGGACAATGTTACCAGTTCACTTTAAATCAATTCATTGATTTTATAATCAATCCATTTCATTGCGATTACTGAATTCTCCACACAATTAAAATTATGAGTGGAGTTTTCTATATGATATTCAAAATGTTTACAATTAAACAGTATAAAAGAGAGATTGAGGTATTGAAACATTGAAGCATTGCCACAACGATCAATACGATTGATTCTAGTTTCTTAAGCATGCTCTTCAACAAAAGTTCTTCAAGTTTCTTCACACGTATGTCATCCAAGCGACAGTGGTTGAAGCAGCGAAGATTCTTGATCTAGACTGCTTGAAAGCAAAAGTAAATAAGAGAAAGAACAATCATAATAAAAAAATTCCAAGTCAAAATCAATAGAAAATCATTATCAGAATGTCAATTATGAAAGGGAACTTTACAGTGCATTATATTTATGATTAGGTGAAATTATTTTGTGTATGTATGGTACCAACTTTTAGAGAGGCTCTTAAATTAGATACTTTAATTGGTATAACCTTAGTATTAGCAATTTTTGTTCAGAATTTAAAAAAAAACTCAGATGTTGACCTCGATAGGACCACTCATTCCCTTAAACTAAGAGGCCTGAACATTAAAAACAATTAATTAGGAATATCTCAAGTTTCAACTATTTGGAAACGATCAAGAATGGAAGAAGATACCTTTTGACTTGTTCACAAGCATAGACAGTGGCTCATCATCAGAATCGCCATCGAAGCCATCTGAACTACTTTGATGTCACCATGCCAAGTCATATCTGCAGCTCTGACTGTATTCAGTGAATTGCTTCAACAATTCCATTCCGCTCCCACTTTGAGGTCACCATGCCAAGTCACATCTGCAGCTCTGTGTTCAGTGAATTATCAAGGACCCATCTAACCAGCATGTAGGTCCCTGTATCCAATCTAATTTTGTAGAATAAAAGAAATCATTACAGTACAAGTTATTTTCCTTCTTTTTTTCACAAGCAGAGGTAAAGAAAGACATCTAATATTATTTGTGTACATCAAATTAAGCTGTGACGGTTCATTAGATTATTAAAGAAAGAAGGCGATTCGATGTACCATTCTCGACTGTTAATCCTTAATGTTTGAACAAGTTCCCCTTCCTCCGCGCGTACCGCGGAAGCTCTTAAGTTTCATTACATTATTAAAGAAAGAAGACTATTCGATGTACCATTCTCGACTCTTAATCCTTGTCTGAATTCAGTTCCCCCCCCTCCCGCGCGAAACGCGGAAACTTTTAATTAAATTATTAGAGAAAAAGACGATTCGTTGTATCGTGTCCTTGTCTGAGTACAATTTGCCCCCCCCCCCCCCCGCGCGAAGCGCGGAAGCTTTGACGTTTCAATAAATTATTACTCTTAATCCTTGTCTGTATTCATTTTCGCCAATCCAGCGCTAAGCGCGGAATTTCTACCGTTTTAATTAGAGAAGGAAGACGATTTGTTGTACTGTGTCCTTGTCTGAGTGCAATTCGCCCCTGCCCTCTCGCGCGAAGCGCGGAAGCTTTGACGTTTCAATAAATTATTACTCTTAATCCTTGTCTGTATTCATTTTCGCCCATCCAGCGCTAAGCGCGGAAGCTTTACCGTTTCATTAAATTATTAAAGAAGGAAAACGATTCGTTGTACCGTGTTCTTGTCTGAGTGCAATTCGCCCCCGCCCTCCCGCGCGAAGGGCGGAAGCTTTGACGTTTCATTTGATTATTACTCTTAATCCACGTCTAAAATCATTTTCGCCCATATATAATAATATAATAATATATAATAATTAAATTATTACTCTTATTAATCCTTGTCTGAATTCATTTTCGCCCATCCCTTTCACGTTTCATTAAAATACTAGAGAAATAAGACGATTCGTTGTATCGTGCCCTTGCCTGAATTCAGTTTCCCCCTCCCCCCCCCCCTCCCGCGCGAAGCGCGGATACTTTGCCGTTTCATTAAACTATTAGATAAAGAAGACGATTCGTTGTACCGTTCTCTACTTTTAATCCTTGTCTGAATTCAGTTTCCCCACTACGCCCCTTAACGATACACGTGCAGTGTTACATGATGTACGTATCGAACGTTCGTTCATAACCCTCCCCCCCCCCCACACACACACACACACACTCCGGGAACGGAGGGACAGTACGCGTGTCTCAAAAATCTCCGGCTCGTAACAAAGAAAAGGATCTACCTGTATTGACTTTACACATCGGACTTATGCTAAAAATGGAGGGGGGTGCTGGGAGCACGCATATGCATACCCTAAATAACACTGAGAGTTGGGGGGGGGGGGCCGGGGCACAGCCCGAGTTGTTGGTATTGCTTGTTGCAGTAGCTTCTGGAAAGGAATTTTCTACTAGTGTTACTGTTAGTGGCCTAAAAACATAATTTTCATGCTCTTCCTGGTTATTTGGGAATGTTTCAGTTTGCAACAAAAATGGAGAAACGCGCATTTTGTTGAAAATCATGTGATATCACGGACATTTAAAAAATCACTTGTGTGGATTTTTTGAAAATGAGTCATGGTTGAATTTCATTTGGTGAGGGGGGGGGGGGGCTGGCGCCCCCCAGCCCCCCCCCCCCCCCCCCCCGCCAGTACGCCAGTGCTTACAGTAATTGTAAGGTAGTCTAACCACCACAATTGCTACGTGCCTGCCCATAGTAATAAGCCACTTGTCACCGAGTGTACACACACACTTGCTCGTAAAGACTATGAAGAAAAGGCTTTACGCGCGATGAACCGCAAGGTATAAACTTCACGAGAATGACGCCCTAGTTAGCATTCCTTTAATTTACAGCAAGGTGCTGGCGGGGAAAACGACCAAGGTAACAACGGAAATGTCGGGCGGGACATCATCGGAGAGTTGGAGGTATGTGGTAGGGGTCTCCAAATTTGGTGTGAATTTCCTGATACAGGGACTTTTGAAAGCGTTTGGTGTTCTAGTTCCGGCCCTCGTCAATAAATTAGAGACAAACTATGGAACAATCGGCTTCATGTTGGCCCTGCAATTAACCGTGTTTTTCATGGCATGTAAGTACTGATGACCCATTCATGGTTAGTGATTGGTTGGGCATATTAATTGATGGTGGTGGTGACGGTGATGCCAATATAGGTGGGGGATATCGGACGATTTTATTGATAGAAAACTCGCCAACAAGCACCAGAAACAGCTCCCTTGGGTTTTCATAAAAATAAATGACATGCTGAAAATAAATTTAAAAAATAAGAACGTTTAAGACTCGTTGAGATATGTCGCGGCAAAACTGCGGCGTTTAAAAAAAAATTATTTCTAATATAATGACGTCAAGTGTGATACGCTACAAAATTCTGTATCTTATAACACCGAGCCCACTGAATACGCTTAAGCGCTTAAAAAATCGCGGCGGCCTTTTTTTTTTTGCGGCGATTTACCGTGCCACATCTGAACATTATTATCTGGGGGTGGAGAGGGGGAGGGGGGAGCTAAGGAAGAGATTGTAGCAGCCACATTTCGAAATGACTGGTATTCAAGCAACTGTCAATTCTATGCGGCCAGCGAGGCACCTGACCAGAATATGTATTTTTTAATATCTTATCTAGTATGTTTTTGTAATAATGTTTTGTTATAGTAGACGTAGAGTGTCCCCGGCCCCCCCACTCAGGTTTCAAAATGACCGCATGCGTGTTGCCAAAATGTCCTTTTCGTAACAAAAGAAAAAGGTCGAGCCGTATTGACTTTACACACCGGACTTTTGCTGAAAAGGGGGGGGGGGGGTGCGGAAAAAGGCTCGTATACAAAAGAAAAAGGTCGAGCCGTATTGACTTTACACACCGGACTTTTGCTGAAAAGGGGGGGGGGTCGGTTGGAACACGCATATGCGTACCCTAAATAACACTGAGTGGGGGGGCCGGGAGAGTGTCATTTTGTTACTCGATCGGCATATCTTAAAGACACATAGAAGTCAGCTCTCATGGGGAATTCGCCATTGCTCGGGTGTTCACCCAATAACATGTGTTGTCAATCACCAGGGTTAGCCTTCAGTTTTATGACCGTTAGACCTTATATAATGCTTTGCTTTTCCCTCACCCGAAGACTCTCCGAGAGACTAGGGGATAATTTTCGATCAACCTACGGGTATACTGTGTGCAGATTTGTACTCCCATTAATGGTATTTCTACCAAGTCTGGTGTAAGCGAATTATGGCCTTCTGCACATGGAAACTGACGAACCACTCCCTTTAAGTATGCCTATACAAAGTTGATAATCGACCAAGAGGTTTTATTTCTGATACTATTTCTATTTGATCTGCGTGTTATTCTACATGGTGTTGACTTTTGATTTATTCACACGTTTATTACAATAATATTCTCTCTTTCACATCTCGGATGTTATTATTACCCTGCTGGGTCTTTTAAGTTTCAAGTTTATTTGTTTCACATTTCACAAAAAAGAATTCCCATAATTTACAATATTAGAACATAATATGAAATATACTAAAATTGTCACATTATATAATTAATTCTTTGAAAAGACGTCGAAATTAATTGTTTTGAATAGAAGGTTATACAGGGTGAAATGTGAGGAACCTATTAAAAAGCTCAGCTTTATTGTAGATTATAGGTTCCAATAATTAAAACTAACATTTGATTGAAGTGGTTGTAATGGTGAAGGACGTAACAATAATAATAGGTGGGCAAAAAGGCCTTGACATATTAAGATGATATACAACGTGAAACAAGCAGAAATAGCAAAAATAGCAAATACAGCAAACAAATTAATTTGTTACCAAAGAAATGACACGATAGTCACTTTAAAATATTGCGGTCATTAAACGAGGTTATTAAACGAGGTCACTCCATCGAGGCAGTAGAAATGAACAATAATGATACAGTAGTATACAATAATATGTAGGCCTAAGCCCAGACACAATCCAGTTTCCAAAATGCATTCAAACCCATCCATGCCTGCTCCTAGAGAGCCCCAAGGCACGCCCCATGCCTCCCCCGCAATATCACCTGAATGAACCAGCTTTCTCGAATATAACAACAAACTCCACCACCGTATGTATCCCGATTTGTTTTCTCTATATTATAACCATTGAGTAAAACCATATTAACAGCAATACTATCATATAACCACCTTTAAAACGAAATCAAATCATTTATGGGCAGGATAACAAGAACAATTTAAGGTCATCAATTTTATTCCTATGACTTCTAATATTCATATGTGATTTTTTCTTCAGGATATTGATTACTAAATTCATTTATATTTTGCTTATTATGACCAGAGTACATTTTATCTGTTGCACTGAATAAATCATCATTATCATTAATATGCAATATTTGTTCATTTAAAAAAGGCAACTGGCTAAACAAACATTTTGTACATTGCCACCCTACAAACGTTTCATTTAAATCATTATAAATTTGACGGTGCTATACCTACACATCTAATGTGAACCCAATTGTTGAAGTCTGTACGTAGTTAGGCCTTTTGATTGTCTCGCACAATTTTGTCACATAGAATACACGGATATGAACTAACCATTGTCAACTTGTCATACAATATAATGATGAAAAAATAAAATAAATAGAGTTACAAAGTACAAGTAACTATGATAATTCAATAAACTGATACAAAACTAAAAAAATACGGTTGGGTAAATATTCGTTGTGTCAATTTTGATTCAAAAGGTCGAAATTATCAAAGGTGATCAAAATATTCAGATTGTTCAAAAATTCCAAATGAACAAGATAGTTTAAGTCTTACTATCACTTTGTTTTGAAATACATTTTTTTTGTTAAAGAAAGAAGAGAATTTATGGACAACTACCAAATAACAAAACTAAGAATTCAAATGTTAGACCGTGCAATACAATATAGAGTGGGTGATTATTCGTCGAATTAATATGGTCTAAGAAACTAGAAATATTCAGTAATGTTCAAACAGTGGCGGATCCAGGGGGGGGGGCGGGGGCCCGCCCCCCCCCCCCCTGGGAAAAAATGTGTATTTTTACATTTTTTAACGTTAATTTTACCCTTCTTTTGGAGATGGCCCCCGCCCCCCTGGCGCTCAAGGGGGGTGGTGCAATTTTTCTAATTTTCAAGGGTCAAAAAAGAGAATTCATGCACAACTACCAAAAAACAAAACTAAGAAGTCAAATGTTAAAAGGCACACTGAATTTCAAATTGATTTCAAATTTGGGCCCCCACCCCTAAGAAATCCTGGATCCGCGCCTGTGTTCAAATGATTATAGGTGATCAAAAGTGTTTAGAAACGTTCAAAAGTTCAAATAAGACAATTTGTTCAAGTCTGACTCTCTTGTTTTCTTAATGCGGGTGCCATTTTGGACATTTCACAACGATGGTTCCATCTCGGGGGCCAGATTTTGCGATCTTTGTTTCCGTTTGCTTTCTTAATTTTCCAAAACAACTGAGATCTTTCTTTGGTTAAGTTTTTGTTGATGAAGATTTTTTTATCAGACTTTCGGAGGTTCATTCTTGCGCCGCACACCTTCTTTCGGGCCTGGTAATTGGTGAATTTCACTATGAGGTTACGGGGCCTTCTTTCGGTTGGAGCTCTACCGGAGCGTTGGTCGCATTCCCTTCTGCTTGGAGCTGGGCCGAGGCGGTGGCTGCGGTCGATGTCGTTAACATTGAGATGGATGTCGAGCAAACTGCAAACTGCTTTCACAAGTTCTTCGGTATTTTCTTCCTCTTTCTCCTCCGTCAGTCCTCCGAATATCAGGCAATTTCTCCTGGTGTGTTCTTCTATTCTCTGAGTCGTCTATATTAGCCTTGCATGAGCTCCTCATTGGTGATGATTTCTAGATGGAATATTCATGTACTTGATTGATGGGGTATTGAAATTCCCTCGAGTTGATTTCTCGATTTCTCTCACTTTTTGTTGTCATTGTCTAATCTTTGTATTATGACCGTGTTCTTCTATCTTTGTAGTGTAAAGCATTGTCTTGCCCCTTTCTCGTCTCTGTTGGCACCCCCTTTTTCTTTCCCCTGTTTTGTAGTTCCTATTGTAGTTACGGGTTAGTTGATTTAATTAATCATTATTCCTAAGTATCATTTGAGGTGTTCACTCTTGTACAAGCATTGCTTTTTAGTGGACCCCTCAGTTTCCAACATGTATTTCTTATATTTGTTTTAAATGCTTATGATTGATTTGTAATGTTTTGTTGGAAACATGAATAAATTGAAATTGAAATTGAATTGAAATTGAATTGAAATTAAATTGAAATTGAAAGTCATTGCGATCGTGTTGCGTTCTTAAAATGAGGTTTTTAAAAGCTTTGTTGATTAGTTTGTTTTTGTTTCGTTTGTTTATTTACAACAGGTCCTCTTGTGCGCATCCTTGCAAAACGAATCAACCCCAGGGCGCTTTGCATTGTGGGTAGTGTGGGATCAAGTGCAGCAATTATAGCTTCCGCTTTCGTCGATTCACCCGTCTGGTTTGGATTTGCTTTGTTCATGACTGGTACGTTGAACATTTATTACATTGAATAAACAAACAAATAATAAATACATGAATAGATAAATTAATATAAATAAATAAGACAAATAAATTAATGTAAATAAAAGTAATTGAATAGAAATTAAGGTATGAAATGTTATGCCTGCACATCTGTGCACATACAGTTTATAACTGTACTGTATGCTAAGTGCTTTTTTTGCCCAAATTATAACAAGACATCAGATCCCCGTCTTAAGTTAAGTTAAGTTAAGTTTAGTGACTGATTTCAAATTGCGATTTATTAGAATCGATCGCAACTCTTTATAATTCAGGGCCCAGATCGTTTGAATATAAAAAATATATATATTTATGTTCTGTCTCTTATTACCTAACAGGGCTCTTTAGTTCCCCGATAAATCAGATATCATTCGAGGTTCTGCATCAGTATTTTGGAGAACAGTTCGGCTTCGTGAATTCCATATGCCTCCTGGGAGTTTTATGTGGCGGTATGGTATTTCCTGTCCTCACCTCCAAGCTTCATGACGCCTATGGACTTGAGGGCGCTCTTCTTTGTCTTGCAGCTATATTTCTCCATTGTAGTCCTATAGCAGCTACCTTGCGACCACAACGTTCTTCAACAAATGGATTTTACCGATTGCCTGCGTGTGAAGAGGGTGACATTGGAAGAGTCATTGAACTCCCCGAAGGAGCATCCTCAGAGGAAAATAATCCAACTTTGCAGCCTGATGATTATGAAACCGCGGAACAAAGCAACTCTTCTGCAGTCAGTCAGAATGAAGAAGATAGTGCAAAATCAAAACTCGACAGAGTCGTAGACTTCCTCTCGGTTATTTTGAATATTCCAATGCTTGCTCAAGAAAAGGCATTCTGTTTTTTCTTCTTGCCATGTAAATACATTTTACAGGTCACCATGGTAAGTTGGACACTCTTCGTGGTGTCTTATGGATTGACAAAAGGCCTTGATGAATCCCTCGCAGCCTACCTACCTGTGGCTGGTGCTCTGGGCGGTTTCATCAACCAAGTGGTTGTCACCATCATTTTGCATTTTCGTCCACACAGCGGTGCGATTATTTTTACCGCAAACATGGCATCTGTAGCCGTAGCATTCTTCCTTTACCAACTTAGTGTATCCTTCAACCATCTCCTTGTGTGCTCCTTTTTTGCCGGAGGTGGGATTTTCGGAGCCTTCCCAGCCTCGTACTCTGTCCTGGCTCTTTACGTCGCAACAGAAAACTTTGCCAGTATGCTCTCCATCAAGTGTTTTGTGACAGGGGCTGCTGTAATTTCGTCAGGTTACATGACAGGCGAGTATTCATCTTTTTGTCTTCTCCAGTTAACATATTGTTTTGCAAAATTTTAGTTACCAGAGAATAATAATTGTCATTCGGGGTAGTTGTCATTCGGGGTAGTTGTCAGGGGATAGTTTCCCTAGAGGGGTAGCTCTACGGGTCGAATTCTAGGACTCTGTTACCCCCGATACGATATTGGAGATATGCAAATTGTGTGACAGGAAACAACCCACTCAAAATATTAGTTGTTTGGGTTAATTGTTAAATAATACATACGATTTATAAGGCGCCAAATCCACTTGACAGTGAAATGCTCAAGGCGGAGCTTGTACAAAAGATGAAAATGATAAATATATACAACAGTGCAATATGAAACGTACAGACATGAAAGGTAATGGTCATCAATAATAATATAAGCTAAATTAAACAGATATTTCTTATGATTGTTTTTTAACACTTCAGCAGAACTGCTATTTTTAATCCATTGAGGGAGAGTATTCCATAATGAAGGCCCAGCATGAGCAAAGGTTTGCTTCCCCCACTTTGTTTTAAACCTAGGGGTAACATGTAAGCCAGAGTTTTGAGAACGTAGCTGTCTAGAGGGAAAGTAATGCTTCATCAAGCCAATGTTGTACTGCGTTAGTCAAAGGGTAGTTATCCGGAGTATATTGTTAGGGAATAACTGCTCTCGAGGGGTAGTTGTTCGAATCGTATTTCAGGAGGTAGTCACTTTGATACGATATTTGAGAGATATGAAGTATGTGAGAGGAAACGACTCATCTCATTTTGGGGCCACTTTTAGTTTGGAGATCATCCTTAGGGTCCGGGCCCCGTCTTATAAACGGTTGCGAGTAATCACAACTTCAATCGCAACTATGTATATAAAAGATAGGGGACTGCAAACTTGCGATTGATTATAGTGCTTGTGATTGATTCGAATCAATCACAACTCTTTATAAGACAGGACCCTGGTGAAGTGTGACGTCATCAAAAATCTAATTTTAGAATTTCTCAATTTTTTCTTCATTTTCCGAAAGAGCATCAAAAATAATGTCCAAGTGTCGAAAACCAATTGAATATGTTAATTATTGACTGAGATATGACCACTTGAATAAATATATGTCCTATGGAACTCAGTTTTATAATGTTCTGGCTCATAATGGTTAGGATTTGAACCCAGACCATAGGCTACCATCTCTTGTTCTCTCTCTCTCTCTCTATTTCTCCGTCTTTCTCTCTCTTCATCGCCTTACTTTTCCCTCTCTTATACCTCTCTGTGCATTTGTATGCCTCGATAATACAGAAAATAAATAAGATTCTTTCTCTTCCCCTCCTTCCTAGTACATGTAGAAGGAGTAGTATTAGCAGCAGTATCACAATAATAATGATAAACAATATTATTGTAACTATTATTATAGTTGGTGGTGTAACTTATGTTATAATTGTTATTGTAATTATTATCATTAGTTTTATAAAATATTATTTTCATTATTATTATTATCATGATTATTATCGTTAATAACATTATTATCATTGTAATTTTTATCATCATTATTATTGTTATCATTATGGTGACTATGAACATGATGACGATTAATACAAGTAGTATTATTATAAGCATTATATCATTATTATCATCTGTATTATCAGCATAATCAACAATGGCAGTAGTATAGTATAGTACATGTAGAAGTAGGCCTAGTAGTAGAGGTATCATTCTGATCCTCATTATCCTGATTATCTTTTGCAATACGTCTAGAGGATAAACTCATGACAATTTATTTTATTCATGTTTTCTTTATAAAAAGCAGGGTAGTCCCATTCAAGCCGCAAGGCCTGCTTTACAAGGGAGCCCTGCTGTACACAAACAAATTACATCAAAAACAAATTAAATATCTTACAATACACATACAAATATACAAAATATACCATAATTAAAAAATAACATAATATAAACAAACTATAAAACATTTTATACAAATAGGAAATTAAATAGAAATGGAAGATGAGAGAGAGTAAACGACAGAGAGAGAGAGAGAGAGAGGGTGGTAGGAATACTTCATGTGAGCGACATGAATTGTAGCGACAATCGTTCGCCTTTGCTGCTCTTTAAAAATACTATTACAAGCAGTATTAATTAGAGTTTCATGATAAATTCGTTTAACATTTGATTTCCTTGGTTGATTGTTTTGTTCGGATTATTTGGCGGCGAGAGATAGGAGTGAACGATCTCACGCTTAACGACGTTGTATTATTTTCTTATTTTTTCATCGTTTTTACGATGCTCTTTGAATCAAAAACAGCTTTTATTGTTAAGCTTCCTGAAAGAAATTTAATTGTTGTTAAGGAAATTTTTGGTTGTATTCTGTAGATTATGATGATGTGTTTGATCTTGTTTGCAACAATAAGATCACACACACGATGACAATCTACTGGGTGCATGCCAATAGATTCTTTACAACAAACAAAAATGAGGTATTAAAACATAAATCTAAAATATAAAATAATTCATACCAAACAAATCATCATCAGTTATCATCAATACTGTATTGCATTTTGAAATGTACATTCAGGGTTTTGTGGACAAGAGTCATCAGGTATACATCCACGATATACGAAGGTTATTTCGAACATTATACAGTACTTGTAAATATGCTAAAATGTCTTTATCTTTTGCATCATCATCCTCATCTTCTGCATAGATTGTTTACCTGAAGACAAAAGAGGTATTTAATACAGTACTGTGTGGTATGGTCTCTTTCTCGCACGCCGTGGTTATCATGTTCTAGCTGAAGGTTTATATGCTGATCGTAATAAAACAAGGCAGTTCTTGAAGAAAAAAAGATGGTGTTTTTTCAATGGGAAATATGACTAAGATCATCATCAGCGTTACTTTTTTGTTCATCACTATTTTTCATGATTGTTTTGTGAGTAGAGTATCAGAAGCAAGTCAGTTTACACAATCTCTTTGTAGGGTATTTCAATAAAATTTAGTACACAGTCTCAAACGATACAAAGGTTACCAATAGACCATTTTCGTAATGTAACCAAATTTAATGCACAGGTCTTTGTGAAGTGCCTCAATACAAATTATTTCATTCACCTGATAAGAATAATAGTAATTCAATAGTCAGAATGCAAACTGCATATATCAAGTGTTGCTAGGTAGGTCAAGCTATAATGGTTGTCTAACCTGGCAACAACTAATGTATGCAGTTTGGATTATGTCTATTGAAATACTATTATTTTTACCAGGTGAATGAAATAATTTGTATTGAGGCACTTTACAAAGACTTATGCATTAAATTTGGTTACATTACGAAAATGGCATATTGCTTAAAGGTTCTATTCACCCAGGCAAACACGTAATCTTTGACTACACAATTACCAGCTGAAAATGCATGGTAAACATGGAAATATGATTTTGACTAAACAATTTCATTTCTCATCATACAGATAAATTAAAAACAGCAACATTATATTGTATGATTATAGGATAGTGTGAAGTATCAAATACAATTATGATAAGAATGACTAGAGAAGTAAATAAATAAAAACATTAAATGTGAACTAGTAACATTGTGTTTTGACAGAAAAACTAATTGTGGAAATGTAAGTTATATTAATGTTCTAATAAAGGCATCAACCCCTGTAAATACAAACATTTTAAAGAAATAAACAAATTCTTCAATACAAAGATACGATATGAGAATTCATGGAACTGAAATCCCAAACCATTACTGATTTCTAAAAATGAAGTAGGTATACCTGATAAATAGCTGTTCTGAGCTATACATTTGAATATCAAAGATTTGTGTTTGCAGGAGTTCATTACAATACTGTAAACGGAAAACTGACACAGGTACGACCATTCAGTTCATTGTATCAGGAATCATGGACAATGTTAGCAGTTCACTTTAAATCGATTCATTGATTTTATAATCAATCTATTTCATTGTGGGAGTGTCGTGGTCGAGTGGTTTAAGGCGCTTGACTGGAGATGCGAAGGTCGAGGGTTCGAATCCCGACACGGCACTAATATCCTTTGGCAAGATATTAACCTGCACTTGCTACTCTCCACCCAGGTGTCAAATGGGTACCCGGTAGGATGCGGCCGTCATTGTTGGTCAAACAGCTTGTGAGCGTCAGGTAATGCCTCAGACATAGGCAGTCATACCCAATAAAGCGCAGCGAAACGTGCTCACGACTAGCGCAAAGGCCTCCGTTTGCTACTCGCTAGTTTTAAACATTTCTAAACTATCGCAAGCAAACGCAAGGTCAAATCACCTACGAGCGGATACGAGTGGCAACCAGTGAATGCGAGCAACAGCGAGTGGCTTAGCGCAAGTATACGCAACCATACGCACCTCTTTTTTTGAGCGCGTGTCACTGCCTATAGCTGCGTTCCCTTCACGATTTACCTCGCCAGAGCTCGTTGTCGTTCGCATGATTGCGCGTATTGTTGCGCTGTTGCTCGCCTACCACTCGCAGCAGCAAGAACTGTTGCAATTGCCGCTCGTTACGCTGCGAGTCTAACTCGTACGCCGTTCGCTTTATGCCTCAGTCACACCTTTGCGTATTTGGCTTGCGTATTGCTGCGTATTACCCAAACGCAGACAAAGGCAGTCATACCCAATAACACGCAATAAAACGTACTCACTACGTACTCAATACGCAGACTAGCGCATATGCCTGCGTTGGTCGCTCGCTAGTTTTAAAATTGTCTAAACTATTGCAAGCAAACGCAAGGTCAAATCACCTACGAGCGGATACGAGTGGCAACCAGTGAATGCGAGCGAAAGCGAGTGGCTTAGCGCAGGTAAACGCAATCATACGCACCTCTTTTTCGGAGCACGTATAGCTGCGTTTCCTGCACGATTTACCTCGCTTTAGTTCGTGTCCATACGCATGATTGATCGCACATCGCTCGCAGCAGCAAAAAACCCTTTCGATTGCCGCTCGCTACGCTACGAGTCTAACTCGTACGTCATTCGCTTGAGCTCGCAGTCGCTGGTTGCAGCACGCTTTAGCTCGCTATCACTGCGATTAGTTGCCTATGCGCTTAGTATCGGCTATATTAGGCGGGGCGCCTCACGGGTTGGCATCATACTGCAGTCAACATTTGAAGAATATACAACTACTGAACAAGAAGATGCCGAAAGCCAAAGCAAAAAAGGGGGTGACGACGAGAACGAAGCCAGTCGAGCCGCCTAGGTCCCATCGCTCCCGCCGGCCCCGGAGTCACCATCGCTGGGTGAACACGAGGAGACGAACATGGCGAAGAAGCCATGGAAAGACCTAGTCAACTTCTCAAGTGACCAAGAGAAGGAGCTTGCCTTTTGGTAAGAATGCTGAAAGCATTCTCCACCAATCTCCTTGCCCGGGACAGCCGGTAGTTTTTAATTCTGTCTTGTCTAGCCATAGCCCTCTTTGCGTACGGCTTCATTAGCCATGTCGTCATGGCGAAGGTCTCGTCTGCCACAAAGAAGTAGGGGTGTCTTTATCATCGTTGGACATTGGCTCTGGCAGAGGCACTCCAAGGGTTTCAGATTCAAGACGTTGTTTTAGTTCACACGAGTTGAAGAGCTGTGCATCAGAGGTTTCGTATCCGACATCTATCCACAAAAAAATTTACTTGGCGTCGACCAGGGCCATGAGTACAATAGAGTAGAAACCCTTATAGTTGTAAAATATTGACCCACTATCCTCAAGGCACTTGATTGCAACATGCTTGCCGTCCAAAGCACCAAGGTTTGGGGAGAATTCCAGTGGTCTTCGAAGCCCTGTGCGACTGCTTCTCATTCCTGTTGGCTGGTAGGTCACCTCACTAGCTTTTCACCGTATTCCTCAATGATGGCAGTGCATATACCTCACGTACTACGAGTGAAATGGTATTGTGGGCTACCCTGAACCTATACATGAGTGACTTGTAGCTGTCACCCGTGACCAGGTGTCTCAGGGTGATGGCCAGCTTCAGCGCGGGCGAGAGGGCTTTCCTTAAGAAGGTTTCCCACTTCTCCAGTCTTTCATGTAGTCTCTGCTCTAACTCTTTAAACATTTCAGGGGTTAGCCTCAAAACGTTCGTGAATGCCTCTTGGTCCTCGTCTTCCAGCTCCCTCATCAGTTGGTCAAATTGTCCCTGGTCCTTCCTCCGGTAGATCCAGGACCGCACCCAACAACTACGAGGGATACTTCGTTAAAGCGGCTCATTCAGCAGGTTCCCTTACTCATAATCTTCATTTGCCTCTCTTCTTCCAGCTGAACCAAAAGCTTAATCTTTTGCAAAGCAGAGCTCTGCTGCAGGGCCATTATTGTCATCAGATTTATTTTTCTTGTAGATGTAGAATTGTCAGAAGCTAAGATGTTTATGCCCAGTCCCACAAAATGACTAGTATTTTTACATATGCCTCAGCCCGAATGAGCTGGTACGCTGTAGCGCGAGCCGACACGCATCAGCACGAACAACATACGAGCTAGAGCGAGCGAACACGCGACGAGACCAACTGGTGCGAGCGGCTAACGAGCAACAAACGAGCTACATACGCACCATGGCGAGCAAACTGCGTATTGGATCGTACTGCTATGAGCAGGCGCGTACGCAGGGGGGTGTTTGGGGGGTTAAACCCCCCCCTTTGGTATTTTTATGTGTATAAACCCCCCTAAAAAAAAAAAAAAAATAAATAAATAAATAAAAAATATTCCCATGGCTGACCTAAAAAAGGTGACCTTACCCCCACCCCCCCCCCCCAACGGAGCAAAATGTCAAATTTTCAAATTTCGAGACCAAAAAAAAAAAAAAAGTGTCCTCTTACCCAGACAGTGGCTCATCATCAGAATCGCCATCGAAGCCATCTGAACTACTCTGATGTCACCATGCCAAGTCACATATGCAGCTCTGACGGTATTCAGTGAATTGCTTTAATAATTCCATACCTCTCTCAATTTGAGGTCACCTTGCCAAGTCACATCTGCAGCTCTGTGTTCAGTGAATTATCAAAGACCCATCTAACCAGCATGTCGGTCCCTGTATCCAATCTACCTTTGTAGAAAAAAATAAATAATTACAGTACAAGTTATTTTTCTTCTTTTTTTGCATGCAGAGGTAAAGAAATAAATCTAATATTATCCTTTGTACATCAAGTTAATTACTAGGCATAACTGACCCCAAACGGACGTTTTCAAATGTCCCTATATACCAAATAACTACCTACCCTATGCACTTTATGCAGTGAGTGTGCTTGGTACTTGTCATACAAGATGATCAAGACTTGGCTCTATACAGTACACTCTATTTACAACAAACGGTCTAAATTTTGGTTCATAGAAGTTTTAGCTGAAAACATTATATACCAATGGTCATGTACATATATAGCCTTCG